CTCTTCACGATGGGATATGACACTGTCGCCATTGTGACTTATCGTCTGTATTGTAATTTTTTCTATATATGACCAAGACGTTAGAACGCATAATGGCTCCACGTGGGTATAAGTCTTGCTCTGTCTAAAAGAACAAAACGCTGCACAATCATTTAAAATTGTAAGCGTTGGGCCAAGGTCGCAGTGAATAGGGCGAAGTCAAGACTTTACCTTCACCTTTCTCCAAACAACTCCCTACCAGTGCCACACAACCTACCTTTCGTTCTTCTTATATTTGTGATGGTATACACACCGACCTTCACAATAAATATATATAGAACGAAAGGTACGGCCCCTGCGGTTGGGGGCCCGGGCTGTTTTCGTGGTGGTGTCGGTATTATAAAGAAACCCATCCCTTCGCCCTCCTCTTCCTGCAGATGCCGAACTGGGTGGAACTTTACTTTTACTTTTATCCACTTCGCCATTGATCAGCTCGTTAGCCGCTTGGGCGGTCAGCCACGTCTCTGTTACGCACTGTTGGCAAGTACTGGGCATGAACTGGCTCCTGAATATCTTGAACCTGCTCCAGTGTTGGTCAAGTCTGCCTTGAATGAACTCACACTCGGTGCCGTCACAATACCGCTGACAGATTGTTCCAAGAGTTCATAATTCCACTCGAAAAGTTTGTCCTCACAGTTTTCTGGACTTGTGGCTTCTTCTGATGAGCGACATATTGAATTTTACTATATTTATTTTTTTATATTTCTTATCATTTTTTCTAAAACTGTTCATTTTTCAACAATTTATTTAAGTTCCAATTTGTGATTTTTTAATTAAAATTTCTATAGCTAAAGTTAATGTCTTTAATCTAGTTTTCTTCTGAATTAACTGGTTGATAATTATTTTATACATAGTTATTATTATTATTATTATTATTATTATTATTATTATTATTATTATTATTATTATTATTATTATTATTATTATTATTATTATTATTATTATTATTATTGTTATTATTATTACTATTATTATTTTTATTATTGCCACCAACCGAATCTCAAGAATATTATCTTCGCAATCAATAGTACAGACAATTCTTAGACATTTCTTTTATAACGTTTCCCTCACAAACGGCTTATGTTATTGGTTTTATTATTGTTATTGTTATTTTAGTGATACTCCATTGGTCTCTTTAATACTACGCTAACACCTTTAAACCCATTCAAAGTCTTTTAACATCAGCATTTAAACTCATTCATAAAACTATTTACGTCCATTTTCTTTGATGTTATAAAAGAAAATGAAAATTATATTGAACGGGATAACTATTGTATTTTCTTTATTATGGGTGTAATAATATATTGTAATTATTTTAAGTTGCAGATATTTGTCCGGTTTATAGAATTGAAAGAAACTTTTTGGAAACGTTATTTACATATCTCCCTTAATGAGAGAAGTCTACGCAAATGCGGAATTTAATAAGCATATTTAAAACAAGATTGTATCGCTGGTTTAGATTTTGAGTTGAGCTCAAAATGTAAAATTCGTGATTACGATGGTGTAGGGGTGGTGTCATATCTACTCAGGAGAATCCTGCATTTTTCATCAAACTCAAAATATAAACCAGCCATGGAATCTCATTTTAATTGTGTTCATTCAATTTCACATGCAGGAAAATATGAATATGTAAATATTTTTTTAATGGTTGTGGCTCCTTTTTGTTATGAGAATAGTTGTGTGTGTGTGTGTGTGTGTGTATTTCAGTCTTTAGGCGTACCATGTAGGTATTACTTTTATTTTTTATTTTACCAACATACTATATTCTGTATCTACAGGAGTAATGGTTGAACATACAAACAAACAAACCTGTATTGCAAAATTTCTACCATAAAACTAAGTCACCCATAGTATTTATCATTGTCAGCAATAATTGAAAGTGTGATATTGTTGATAGAGATAAAAGTAGAGCTCATACAAGCCAAAATTGAGATAAAATTTGATATAATAAAGAAAATTGAAAATGGCGAATCGCATGCCTCCATTGCTCGATCTCAAGGAATAACTTTGACCAACTATCTCGTCTTATACAAATTAGGAGCAAATTAAAATGAATAAGCAAAGGCTGTCAAAATAGATATCTGGTGAGTACCATATCAATATTTTCTCTATAGTAATACTGTACTGTACAGTATTTGTATTATGTCTGGAAAAGGGGGTAGGGTTGAGAATGCTTCAATTGTTATTACCATACAGTAGGCATGGGCAACCTTTCCTCAGTCATTGGCTGCATTACGATTTAAGTACTTTTCTGCAGGCCAAACCACCTTAATTTATGTCCTACCTAACCCAAACCAGGGGCAGATCCTGGAATCTCAAAAAGGGGGGGGGGGTCCAAAAAGTTGTGGATGGGGGAACGTAGCGAGCAAAACGAGCCCACCCAGCTGGGGCTTTTTTGGGAGGGGGGCATTTTTAGGTCATTCTGAAGCCATGTGCAATTGATATTAAGAGATACAGTATTCAGAGGTCAATAGAAATTACTTTACTATACAAAAACGCCTGAGTATGATACTGCATTAAAGAAAAAGTAATGGAATTTTCTGGTGAAAAAGAGGGGGTTCCGGATCCCAAGGACCCCCCGGATCCGTCCCCACAAAATTAATGGAAATATTGTACTGTATTAACACGGACAGTGAAACAGTTTATCATCACGTCCACCTTACGATATTTTCAGCTTGCAGTCAGTCTTTTTCCCATTTGTGAAACAAATCTAACATAATTTTTTAAGTAAAATGCTAGTTTGTAGACGTTTAACAGATGAGTGAAGCAGTCTGTGAATACATTGATTTTTCCTACAGTTACAGCATTTATCTTACTTAAAAGACACACCCACCAGATTAATAAATGTCATTGTTAATCTTGGTGCAAGAGGAACTACAATGAAACAACCTATAGGCACATCTATTTATTTTACAATATACTGTATATATACAGTATACAGTATATACAGGTGTTGAGGTCAGAAAACTTGGGAAGTGATGAGGAGGAAGCAGCTGGGTGTGTGTGGTGGTGGATGGGTCAGTAAACAAAATCAAGTGCTTCCCCTCATGACCGCCTCATTTCACTCTCCGTCTCCCTATCACACCTTACCTAACAGCCTCATCTGACTTAGAAGAGGGACAGAGGTTGCTGAAACAGGATGATGTGTTTTGAGAGGTTGCCATTTGTCTTATTTTATAATAATCCTTCCGAGCCATTTCAAACTCAACCGCAGGAATTTTTAGTCAAATTCGTTGATTTACGTAATAGACCACTCGGAGAAGGCCACACACACATATGTAAATCTACAAATTACACCAGTAATGGATCAGAAAATTCTAATAAAAATCATTTGTAGTTTTATATATTTATTTATTTTTCAGTGGATCTTTAGGACAGTCCCAACATAAAAAAAAATCTGAGAAATTTTAATACTATCAAACACTAGAAAAACAGCTGCCAACAATACAAAAGAGCAACAGATAAAATATACAAACCAGTACAGTACCTGAGGGACAAAGGTGCACAACTGTTCATTGGCAGAGTATTATTTTGAACATACAGCACTATTTCTTCTTCCTTTATATATCTATTACATCTATTAATATATAAAAGTTGGTGACCTGTGCATATTTTCACAGTAAAAAACTGATGTTTTATGGAAGGCATATATCACTATACAAACGTTATTTTTGTCATAATATTTCTTTAAGCAGATAAGTATTTGTCTTGTCAGCAAATTTGCCATAACATAAATCCCATTAAGTAGTTAAACCCATTGCCACTTTTCCCTCAAGTCATCAGGAAATTTAACAATACACTAACATATTTATTAACCAGGATCTACTCAACCAGTCTCATTCATCAATAGATGCCATTAGCACTGGTTTTTATGCATACAACTGCAAGTCCAGTTATTTATATATATATATATATATATATATATATATATATATATATATATATATATATATATATATATATATATATATATATATATATATATATATATATATATATATATATATATATATATACTGATGTCCATGGAAATGGTTAAGTTGGTGCTGAATAATAGTCACTGGTATAAAGCCTATTACAACTGAAACAAAATAAGACACAAAACACAAGCATGATTACACAGGGTCTCACAGCACTTACAAAAAGCTTTACATTTGGTCAAGCGTCAGGTACATTTGCTAACTACTTCTACCGGCACCATTAAGGCTTAACGATATAAATTAGTTGCCAAAATCCAATCTAAAAATGAGACAAGATGAGCAACATTTTAATCTTCATATTGTGGAATAAAATATTGTACAGTTTTCAAAGTAGTTTCTCTGAGGAGTCTTTGCACATCTTGTAACATTAGTCGATTGAGTTCACGACATAAATCTGTAAAAAGCGTCTACTGACAGAGTCCGTGGAACCTAACTCCCTGAACCTGAGGCAAATATTTAAAAAATGGACAAAATTCTACGATACCACTTGAGTTAAAGCCTGTCATTCACTGGTGTGTTAAAGATCACAATGTAATGCTACCAACTGCCATAGTTTATTGATGTAAAATAATGTAATATTACCATTTGATGCTGCAAATTGCTTCTGCAATGCTACTCAAGATATTCTGAAAGTCTATGTGATATTAATAGTAAAAAAAATTCATTGTCTAATCTAAGCTAATTCCCGATTCTAATGTCGGCAGAAAATCTTAACGATTCACTCTTCTGATTACAGTACTAAATTGATTAATAATGTGTACCTATTTGGGACAGTACATAAGTTCTCAGTCACCCTGTATCACTAGAGTATTTCAAAACTTGAATTTTCAATACATTGTACAAGTTTTGCTTCATTTATCTTTCCAGTTCCAACATGTTACTCGCCCTATTCTTCAGATAAAAAAGAAAAAAAAAAGGTATTTTTTAACTTGACTCAACCTGAGGACCATCAGGTCTCAACAGTTGCTCCCATAGCTTGACCTTCCTGGTCATTATAAGAATTTAGGTAATGTTTGATTACCTCAGGGAGTAGCAATCCTGCCTTGCCAGTTAACAGGATGCTTGGAAATTCTACATATAATGCCCAGTTCCCACTCTGTAAAAGTGGGCTGGCAAAAGGACAGGAATATAGTATAACTTGCTTCAAATTTGCCTGATGGCAGCCAGATCATCATGGCACCAGGTAATCATGGCAAACCTATGCAAGCTTGTAGAATGGTCATAAAATGGTGATTGGGGGGAAATGTTCAGTTGAACTGTAAAATTAATAATAATGTGAAAATTAAAAAAATCTAATGAACTTTCTTTTAATTGAGTGCAGCTATGTCATTGCAGGTGGCAACCTGAGCGGTAACACTGGCTATGGCACAAATGTATAAGAAATGTACAGTGTCCAATGCATGCTGGGACAGCAAAACATTACATTACTTGGGGTTTATTACCACACAATGAAGACTACAGTTCAAGAGATTTTAAATACCTGTACCAGAAGTGGAAAAATGTCTAAAATATCCATCATTTTCAATTACTTGGCAGGGGAGTTTTAAAATCAAGAGTTAAACTACAAAGTGTAAGATTTTTATTGATGGGTTTTCATAGAAAACCCATCAATAAAAATATTAAATGGAGACTGAAAACTTGTGGACTGGACCCTCTGTGCATAATGTATTTACCTGCACTGGTTTTCTACAAGGTAACTAAAACAACAAAACAGAAATACCAGGTCATTGTAAGTGTTTTCATACACAAAAATACCGAATATCTGGAGAACTGTATAGCTCTACAATGTCACATGAGACTGGTAATGATAAACACTACTGAATATCTGGATGCATTTGCAGGTACAGTCGGGGCCAAATTTTGCCCTCGCCCAAAATGAAACAGCATCGATTGACCTCAAATGATATGAAAAAGTCAGGGGACGTCAGTTCGGAGACTCATTCCCGTAACCCAGTTTCACTGTGGGGAGCAAACTTTTTTCCATGACTGTACATAACCACAAGTAACCCATTGTCCTACTTTGGGATGGTCTTCTAGTAAGTTCAAATTGCAGGTTTTAAATTTGGGACTAAACAAACCGACCAAGACACCTCATTGGCTATTAGAATAATTTTCCCTCTGCCAAGTCAACTTAGCTCAGGACAAAGCCTTAATATCAGTGGCTACAGATCAGGAAACCTGTTGTACGTACACTAGTTTATGTACATTTTAATGGCAATACACAAAAAAGCATCATCAGATCCTATGTTCAAGAGGAATGCAGAAGTCCAATTAACCATATCAAAATAATGAATCAGCATAGGATTCTTACAAATAGAAGCAATCTACCATGAGGATACAGCATCAAAGCTACAGTACATTACAATATATCTGGTTTGTGCATTAGCTAATATGCAGTAAGGCAATTTGGTGAAGAGTCAGTAATATTTATATGACTATTCTGTCCAATTAGTACAGTCTAAATACAAGTAAAAACTATACTTGGCTTTAGAGGTAATTAACTAAGCCTCACTCAAGTGGCACTATGAAATTGGGGCCTACAACTGTTGTTCTTATTGCTGTAGTTGATTAGTCAAACTATTTGTATGTAACAGCTCACTGGTACATCGTTAAATAAAACAATAAATGGAGTACTCACATTACTTAAAATTAAAACAATGGCAACAGGATAGCTTTGGCTTGTCGGCAGACTTTGTATTCGAATAAATAATTCAGTTATTACCATACTTCACTTCTACAGTCAAACTATCAAAGTTAATAATTCAGCAGCTCTGTCAATTACTTCAACCAAGGCACAACACCATGTCTAAACAGACATTCTTTGGTTTAGTCAATGTCAGGGGCCAAATGTAGTTAAATCTTACTCATGTCTGTCATATATTGAGCAAAAAAGAAAAAAATCTATATATAATAATAAATAATAAAGAAAAAAACTATACATACAGTATACAGTATATCAATTATCATAAGTATTCTGTACATCCATTACTTTGTTAAGAATTATTTCATCTTCATGGTCAAACAATACTATACAATACATATTTATACAAAATATGTCTTTCATAAAATATGGAATTTACAGGTTTCAAAATCTTGCTCAATTTATAACCTGGAATGCCAACACAGACACAACCTTCTTTAACAGTAGATAAAGTAGTTTATCCTTTCCTCTCTAGCATAAAAAGAGCACCTACTGGTGATCCATCTACCTATTATTACCTCTGTTCTTACTAAACCAACCAATCAGTCAATCATCTAGGCACTGAGTTATGAAGGATGCATCAACTTTTTTTAAATACAAACATTATACAACTGAAGTCGTTATGAAACTGCTACTTCTCCCTCCTCTATAAATTAAGCCACGTATGTGTTTTGTTTTCTTTTCGTTATCAAAACCAAGTACTGAAGACTTGGTCACATTTTGAGCGCTACAGGCAAAGTCCTACTGTATGGGATAATAACCATGAAATAATAAAAAGGGAATTACCTAGTCTGGGATACTACAATGCAGAGAGACCAATTTTATTTATGCCAGGTACAGCACTGCATCATTTCACTTTAACACTTCAAAGGATGACACAGAGGTTCCAGGCTGCAGAGTAGCATCCCAACCAAAAGACAATGGGATGGCTCCAAGTACACTATTACAACACAATACAAAGTTGATCAAAGAGATGGTGGCTAGTTACTGAGCACTTTACACATGATCTGGACTAGCATCATTACTACAGGCAACTCAGTGCCTTACAGTTGGTGAAAATGGCCCAAATGTTTGCCCTCTTTTCAAATACCAGTAAATTCTTTCTAACCCTGATGAGCATCTAAAATCGGTCTGAAGACAATTAGCACACTTTTGTAACTGAATACCTGAGCCACTGCCAGTCTAATGAATACTTAACTTAATTTCTTCTCAAAGGGAACTAGAAACATCGGTGGTGGGACTAGGACACAACACAACCACATGAAATGCCAATTAACAAAACCCTATCATATACTGATGCATCTACTTTGTATTGTATCAAACTTTTTTAATGAAGTATTGATCTGCAAACCACACAAAAATATCATTATAATTAGATGCAAATTTCTTTAAGAATGCTAAAATGATGCTTTGCTAGTGGCACTTCATAAAGTTGTAGTTAAGGGTCCTTAAAGGAACATAGATTTGTGCTTTCAAGATGACCAGAATAAAGTTAATTATTATCATTACAATAGGCTGCAAGAGAACTAACAATCTTCTTCCTTATCTGATTTATCAGACAATGTTACCTCAGCAATGTCAGCCATTGTGGGAGCCTGGAGGGTGAAGGCATGCACAGAAGCCGGGGTCTGGTGAACAACAGGATTCACTGTCTCACACAGCCCCTCCAGCTGATTGTTCAGTAGACGGTTTGCTTCGGTGTATATCTGAAATTTATTAATAATTAACGAAGTTGGATTTAAGGTCAAGTAATATATTCATTAAAAGACATGTACTGAAACCACTACCATATAATACATGTCAAACTAATATGACAAAGAAAGGGATCAGGTACAGTGACAAAAGTGTGAGAAAGATGTAAGTAGCTGTGTAAACCAGGCTGAGTCATGAGTCAGGATGTGGTGTCTGTTTTTCTGTGATTCCATGTCTACTCTTTCTCTGAGGTATATATACTTACTGCAACAGCCATCAACCTTTCATAAACTTGGTATTTCTTCCTGCATGCAACAGACAACTATGCATGATACCTTAAACTCAAATTACAACGTAGAATTCTTTACAAAACTTGTCAGAAAATTGTTGCTAGTGTGTCCTTTACATTCAGAAATCCAAGAAGAGAACCACTAACTTACAGCATATGAACACCATTTGGATCACATTTGTACATTTAAATTATTGATCGTTTATGCAATACATTCCGATGACAGATATTCCTTGTTTTATGGTAGGAGACTTATCACTGTATATTTAAGTTAGTTACACCACTATTTATAATCCTCGAGCTACCCCAAGAATAACTGCTTTAGGTTATATGTCTGATTTCTTTTTTATTTCAATATTAATAATTTTATGATTCACTGTCAGTAATGTAATGCAAATCTATCCCCCCAAAATTAGAAAGTATGAAAAATCCTCTCATTACCTCAGCGAAAGTCTGATCCATGAAGAGTTCCTGTATAAAGCGACGAGCTGTTAAGCGATAATTGTATGAGGAGAGGATCAGGCAAATCTCCGAGTAGAGGCAAGAGTCACGGAATGCGTGAGGCCAACGCTGCTTCAATGTGAGTAATCCTGAAATAGATATGAATTTTAATTCGTCAACAAGTAGTTACAAAAATAATTATGTTTTGAATCCTTCCCAAAAAGTTTATATAATCATAAACATACATTTCATATAAAAAATTTGGTTGAATTCAAAGGTAAGGTCACATTATTTTCAATTTGTCTGCTCAAGGTCTATAAGTCTAAACAACAATAGGATTTCAAGTAACAAGTTTCATAAATATCACTTTGTCTCTACCTTAAGATTGTTTAATAGTGACATATTGTACATGGTAAAACTAAAAGGTTATGAGAGGGAACATTGGCAGTACTGATCAGAGAAACTAGCTAATGGATACATAAATATTTCCATAAATGTGTAGCATTGTTGTATCATTTTGTATATTTATCTGATTTTACATCTTTATTACTGAAGAAAAAAGTATAGCTATATTCTTCATAAGAAATCAAAATTAGTCACACATTTATCTACACATTTTTTGGAACATAACAGCATTTCCTGGACCAACTTGTAAATTTACAGACCATTTCAATCTAGAATTTATTTCAAACATGTCTGTTGTTGGATAATCAGACAATCTATGTGTTTTTTATTAACCAGCACAGAACATGACCAACAGGAAATACAGTTTGCTGGTGACTACTGTACGGCCGGCAATTCGATAGAAAAAACTGTTTGTATATTTCAGTTATTCTACCAAGCCTTTTCTAATAAGGCAAGTGGTCTGAAATAACTGGGCTAAGGATATAACCAAACAGCAGTATGGATATTTCAGGATAATATACTCTACAGTATTATAAATTTACTGATGACAAAAATATTCTGTACATAAAACATGTTGCCAGTCTCTTAACAAATTAATATACAGTAGTATTAGTAAGATAAAATACATATGGCACCATGACTATACTGTACTATACTTTCCATCAACAAATTACATTGTACTCATATCAAACCTGATTCTGAGGATCTGGCAGCTATGGAAGACAAGAGGTTGGTTATGAAGCGTAATATCTCCTTCCTGAGCAGGGTCTGGTTGACTCGCTCTGGCCCAGACTTTCCTTCACCTGTAAATGAAACAAAACAAACTTGATAAGATATTATGACACCAAAGATGATGATGATGATGATAAAATGTAAGTTTGTGAGCACAATCCAGTGATCTCAAATGGTTTATGAGCAGCACTGAGGGACAGTCAATAGCATGAGGTACTAGAGGATTAAATAATCAGAGGGTTTTCACAACAGAGGGAGTCACTAATAAAAGTAACTGAGTGACTCCTGTTTTAAGATGCCCTCAGCACTTGAGTCATGATATCTGAATATCATTAAGTTACCATACTATCACAGCAACAGTGTATATTACCGTAACATAATGCACACAGTTGTTTTCACACACACAATTTTAATATTCTTTTCATATACAGTATCTGAATTTGAAAAGCAGAGTGATGATAGCAACGGTGGTACTGATAGTAATTTTGGCTTAGAGTGAGGTGGTAATGGTGGTGGGGACTGATTAGAGGTAGTACTAGAGCGCACAAGGAATTACGGTAATACTTAAGAGGTATTTTTGAGGCTTTATTAATACTTGTATCTGATAGTAAGCTGCATCACCACTTTTACCTAATTTTTCTAGGAATAAAGTACAGTTTATATGAATTCGTGAAAATGTGGTATCCTTAATATCTCAACAGTTTTTGTGATAAAACTCAAATCAGTGGTTGTAATAATCGACATGTAATTTACTCACCCAAGTCATCCCAACCTTGGCTGTTGACACTAGAAGATTCTGATGCTTCTGACACCTCAGACATGGCCTTGACCCGCTGCAGGGGAGGAGACTCTACCACTAAGCTCTCAGTCACCTGCCCGTTACTCTCACCTAAACACAGAAAGTCATGTTATTATGCCTTTACAATACAGGATATGCAGTACAGTACTGCTATTTATTGACTGAGTAAATTGAAAACAGTGTTTTTTATCATTTCAGTATGAGTGTGGCAGTTGAGTGGATACACCGCTCGCCTCTTGGTCCAGGCGTTGGTGTTTCAAATTCTGGGTGCTCCCAGTTCACCCAGCTGTAAATGGATACCCAAGTTTACAACATGGGGAAGTGAACTGAGCCGAGTACAGTACTGGCCATGCTGACTCCTTGTGTACTGAAGGCTTAGTATACAGTGATATCTCCATTAACCTGAAACTGGTGCAGAGCACTTCCAGGAATGAGAGATTTCCAGGTAACAAGAACTCTCTCAAAGCTGGAAAAAACTCTCTCATCCCCCAGAATTTTCTGGAATTTTCCGGGTACTAGGAAAATTTTCTCGGAAGTTCCAGAAATTGTACATTACATCATCTCCTGAACACAGAAAGATATCCCCCATCCCAGGAGTTTTCCAGGTACCAGAAAATTTTTCCCAGAATTTCCAGAAAGTGCGCCTGATTTTCATCTCTTAAACCCGGAAAAAAAATCACCCATCCCCGGAATTTTCCGGGTACCAGGAAAATGTACTCAGAATTTTATAGAAAATGTGTCCCTAAGAAAATCGCTCCCAAGTCCGGAATTTTCTGTAAAATTACGGAATTGGGAACAATGTTCGGAGAAAATTTCAATCCCAGCTTATGGGAGCCACTTTCACTTTTCATAATTAAAGTACTACTCAGATCCTACAACAATATCTCTAATGTTAATATTTCTTTATTGTAAAGTTTAAAATTCAGCATTAAGGAATGGTGACACAACCTTGTTCAGTACCAGGACTCAAGGTCTACAAGTAAAGTAATATCCTAATACCACTGCTTAAACCTTCCCAATAGTGAGGAATGGTTACTGATAAGATGTATTTCTAAAGATCCTAAAGTCCATAACTAAATTTTTTGGTACTTTCAAAGTATTTGTTTCAAATTATAATAAATTCTGATTAAATGAATTTAAATTTCTAAAAAATATATTCCTCATCTTCCTAAAGTCCAAAGCTCTACTGTGTTATGTATCTACCTCAGGTAATCTTTTACCAGCAAACAACAGAGGATCTACAGATAGACAAAAACACTAATACAGTACAATGATTGTTCTATTCATCCATAAGGCCTGGCAGAAGCAGCAAAAAATAAAATAAATAAAATAAAATAAATAAATAAAATTAAATAAAAAAGATGGAAATACTGCACCTGTAAACAGATTAATATTAATAGAACATTCAATCTCAAAAATTAAATAACAATCAACTCCTTTTCATGATTTTTACACAAAATCGTGAATTACAAAACTACCACAAAGTCAACAAACAATTTTAACTAACACTTATGCAAGGGGCTGGAGTGTGTGGAGGGCGGGGCGATGGAGAAACAAGCCAGGCATGTCTGTGGAGTGTGAAGTTCCAAGCCAGTCCCTTCGCTCTCCAACCCTGGGGCCTTGTCAACACTAATTTTTCTCCTTCCATTACTCACACCGTTTGCTGTTTAAAGTCAGATCCAATCATTAGCAAAGTGTCAGCCAAGATTCTACAGCATTTACAGTGGTTGACAATAGCTGGGGTCATCCAACACAAAAATATGTGACCAGTTCTTGATTAATTTTGACAACCAGTATTTTGACACTAATACATTTAGATATATTTCACCCAATCAGTCTCTTCAACTAAATAGAGTACGGAGGCTCTATATATAATCCATATTAACATAAAGGTCATGTTTTATACTAATTGCTTCACTTGTCTATTAAACTTATGTATGACCATTTAAATCTAAACATAAACACTCATGGTTAAGGTTGTCATCCAGTACAGTACTGACTCTTGAGACACAAGTTCAACCCCACAGCCAGACAGGGTCGGTGGGGTGTTATTCTGTTGACCACGAACCACATCAATGTCTTCAGCAGAGCTAACCTCACTTAGGGATGCCACCTCATAATTGCAAAAAACAGCAGAACAAATGGTGCTTTTTTTTAATCTAGACATAAGGCCAATACTATCTGACTACATTACTGTACATGCTTGTAATCACCTCATTTCCTCTTAACTTTCTTGTTCAGATAATTTCATAATGTTTTTCAGACTACAACATCCAAACTAAACTGGATACACGTGACTGTGTACTTACTTTTAATTCTCGAGATATTCTCCTCAGATTGAGTTTCTAGCTCAGATTCTGTGATTGCAGGAAATCTATCCTTGCCAGAGATGCCATTGCTTGTGCTTATAGCATTTGCACGGTCTCCCCCTTCTTGCTGCTGTATATTTTTGTTATATAAATCATCGTACAGTAGTAAGTCTAGGTCGAGTGGCAAGGCAAATCCTAAAAAGCATTGGCCAGACTGATGATGAGTCATACTACTAAGAGCCTGACTCCCAAGCCCTCTACTACTGCTGCCACCTGGTCCACTACCCCGAACACCAGCGGAACGTACAGACGACACCTCACTGCAGCCTGAGGGAGATCGCACCATTCCCCGTACATCCAGTAAATTGCGCATCAAACTGAAACAAAGCAATGTATCGGCTGTAAAATTTCAAGAATATAAATTACAACTTGAAGTTACATTTCCCTTTTTCAAATGCCAAATTCTAATCTTTTATCTTTGGTTATTATTAAAAACTACTTTTTACAGGTATTCCATAAAGTATTGAAGAAACAGCAAAGAATTTTTGTATACTTACTATGTTCCACTATGCTCATAACTAGAAGAGAGAAAGCCCTTAAGTGAATTTCGTGTGGTTTTCTCTTCTTGGCTCGATTCTGACACAACCCTACGATGGTTGGTGATGGAGCGTAGTGTGAGGTAGCTCTGAGTAGACAATGGCTGGCCTGTTATAGCTGCAGATCCTAACAGAATAGGAGTCGAGCTGCCTGCAGCTCTGTCTATAGTATCTTCAGCAAAGAGAGCTCCGCTTGAGCCTCGAATGGAACCACCTCGTCCTCCTCGCCTCAACTCCACCCCACCATCAGCAATTGATTGTGATCCAAGTGTGGCTATTGATGCTCCACTTGCAATAGGACTCAAGCGACACTCCCTAGAATAAAGTAATGTCCAATTTCCTTAGGAGCAGAAGACAGAGTGAAGGAACACCAAAAATAAATACGGCAAAAATGTTGACCCATTAATCATGAGTAAAATATTTAAGCTGTGACAGTAAAACACTAATCATCTCATATTCATAAAAATAATGTGCAGATGCAATCTTTATACCACCCTTAAATATTTAAACTACATCACAACAAGGTCTACTGGTTATTTCCAGTAGGCGGCATCACACTAGCACTTTTCCGTCATTTTATTGCATCAAGTTTCTAAAAAAAATTATTTTCATGAGCGCGCCATCACACACATAGAGAACTAGCAAGCCAATCTTTCCGTGTTCGTCAATTGTAAACAAAGAAGATGGCATTGTTTGCCTTCCTCTTCATTTTTTTTATGTATCTATCGTCCCTTGGATCACACGGGCAACGATAATATCTAATATTGTCTATCGTGTATTCTTCGGACAGGTGTGTCCACACAGGAAAGTTTGAAAGGTTGTGGAGACGTTGAACACATGGCTCAATGTAAACAAACTTATCACATGTATTTACGAATATCAACAACAACAACAAAATTTTACATTAAAGCAATTTATAAAAAAATGCGATACCAAATACTTTTAAAATTAAATTTAGTTACTTAACGTGGTTCGATATTTATTTTATATACATAGCCTCATTGTCGAGTACAGAAATTGGCACAAGCCAGACAGGAGGAAACGATACTATTTGCCTGAGAGAGACGGGGTAGAAATATTGACAATTTGTGGAAAGAACAACAGAAACTGGGAAAATTGAAGGGAAGAGTGCTAGTGTGATGCCGCCTTAAGAAATATGTACAGTAGAATGGTGATAACACAAATGAACCTGAACCTGACAACTTAAGTGTAGTTATTAGTGTTACAATTTAGGATTCACTCAGTATGGTGTTCCCGCATAATATACGAAGAAAGACATACACAGATAACACTGACTTACTGGAAGACATTTTGAAAGAGGCAAAAGTTAAATGCCTGATTTGGACTATATTATCCAACCATAAATGCAAGAAAGGTGCACATGATACCACTTGATTTCTTGTATTTATTTTTATTTCCACCTGCAAGAGCAACTCTAAAATACCTAGCATATACTTAACTTGTTTAGCTATACTACTGTATATGATGTGTATGTTCAACAAATAGTTTTTTGGCTTTTTAAATTATTAAATATCTTCTACAGTAAAATGTATCCAAACTGTGTCACGTATTTTATCTCAATACTTACAGCTGTGGCTTGACAGTTAGGAAATTCGAATTCTCTGCCTGAGAACTGTCTCTTGATATGTCAAGGCCATCATGGGGCAACTCAGCAGCAGAGAATTCCATATCCTGTGCTGGGTCTGATAGTGAATCTGAGCTCAAAGTGTAACGTTGATCTCCTGCTTCATCATCTGAACCCATAGGGTCTGTCAATGAGTGGCTCCTGGAACTGATCCCTCGGATACGTCGAGCAGACTGCAGGAATGCTGCCATGCGATCAGTCATTCGGTCAGAAGCTGTAGAAGAGTTACTGGCACGACTGCTGGTAGACTCCCGACGCCGTTCTGACCTAATATTCACATAACAAAGTTAATAATAATTAAAGACAATTTGTTCATAATAATACATATAATTAATTCTTACTTGAAGAGACTACTTCCAACACCAATTTCAATAGAGTTATCTTCAAGTGTCTCCCACCAATATCCTGACATCACTCACTTCATGTTTCTGCTCATAATAAATTTTCAAGTTACCATCACACCAGAGACATTAACATCAAGTTCTTACTGCTTAAATTTAATACTGCACAAAAGGTTAAGAAAAACATGCAACATAAGCTTAAGTAGAATAAACCAGGACAACTACACACCAAGATGAACTACAGGTAGGGTATTGAGACAGGATATTGAAGATGATTGAGGAAAGATGGCATGAACCTAAACACTGTTATGACAACATATCTTACTATTACAAATTGTCTTCACAAATATTTTGGGGGAGTTAAGCTGAGGAGAAGCAGTGCAAGCTGAGACTTTCTCTAACATCCATACATTTTTATATGAACATTCTAACACCACAGAATACTAAAATGGGTCAGAGTTTTATTTTCTCCAGTCCAATAAACTTTGCCAGGGAATTTAAGTGATTTTGAACTAACTTGAACAAAATCACAGTTAAGGAAACTCTTTATGAAAGAGTAAAGTCATTCTCCAAAATGATCGCATTACATCTATTGAGTTCACTTACTTTCTACGCACACTAGCCAAGAGTTTGCTGAGGCGTAGTGATGATCTTTTTCCTAAGGTGAGGTCATCCTGTGAGGGTAACATCTGTGGTGGGTCTGATGATGTCAACTCCTCCATCACTGGTGCACAGTCAGAAAGACTGCGCTGGTGGCCCATTGTAGTTGGAGGCTTAGACTTATGTGGCAGAGTCTAAATGTTTGACAAAAAATGTATTAAAGGACATGTGATTAATTATACAATCGCATAATTCATTCAACCATTACTCTTCTAGATGTACAAGTTAATCAATTTCCCTGAAACTTTACCTTGTTAATAAAAAATATGAAAAATAAACTAAAAAAAATGACCACATAGGCCAAGTGATTCTAGGCAGCAAAAAGGAATTAATGAATTAAAATATCATATGAGTACACTAAGAAATTTTAAATCTTTAACATAATACTGTACAATGTCTATATCAGGTTACTAGATATGTACTTCAAAATAGGAAGGTACAGTATACAGTGTATGAGAGTAAGGTAATATTTATCTAGGGGAGAATGGTTAGCGTGTCTGGGCGTGGGTCAACACAGCGACTAAACATACAGAAAATACTTATTTAAAACATTTACAAGATCAAACTTGTTTCCTCTGTCTGCAATGCCAAGATAGTTTCAGTTAAGTACAGAATTATTAGGAACTTTTTCAGGTGTATTAAGTATATACACTAACCTGACTTTTGCCTGAAGTTGGATATGAGTCGTCCAACCCAATACCTTCAACTAAGAGTGATCCACCATCACTGCCGTCTTCAGAGTCATCTCCAACATAGAATCCGGGCCTGCAAGGACACGGTACTGATTATAATAATGTACGCAGATCATCCATTCTAACAGGTCAATATTCTCTAATACTGTATTCTAATATATACGGTATCTATGAATACAAACACAGGTATGGCTAAAATTGATAGTGGCCATGACCTATAGCATCATGGGAACTATTTGATAAATACACAGGAGCATATTATATATAGCTATAAAAGATAAGTTTCTTTTACACATTTCATTTTCTCTTGTCCTTTAGTCCAATTTTTGCATTACAGATATACAAAACTGATCAATTTCTTTAAATCAGTCAACAGTCATCACACACACACACCCTTCAATCACCAAATACTTAATAAAGATATTGAAGCTACTTACTTCGACAATTCAAAGTCATCCATATCACTTTCTGAAATTTGGTGTCCACCTATATTAATGTAGTTTTCATCCTGGCCCTGATTGGCTGCTGCTGACCACACATCCAACGTTTCCTCCACAAACTGCCACCGTTCATGATGATGTCGCTGCACACACTCCCAGCCTGAGGTGAATATACAAGTATTTATATTCGTTCATCAATCAATTGACTTTATGCCTCATGGCATTCCAGAATTCTTCATGGAGGTAATTAATGTAACATCACATAAAGAGTAGCCATCATAGGGGTCAAAATAGAGTACTGTACTAAACCTTCTCTTACCCATGGACAAGTAATTGATTATGAATCAGTTGTCTAGAGAAAGCAGTTTTTACTTGCCCCCAAAAATTAACAATTTGTTATATAAAAAATGCTTCATCAAACTTGCTTTCAAGGAAGAATTAGCTACCTACTTTTATCTCGAACTGACAATAAAATTGCAGTGAAAATAGAGATTCTCCTCTCAAGTATTTAAAATTGTCACTGCTAATTTCAGTTGCAATATACTGTAGTATGCTGATCTTTATAAGTAAATTACTGTCTCCAGAATGTAGTCTCTGCTGCCATCAACAAAAAAGTGGCACACTATTCAAATTAAGTTTCATTGCTGGACTTTGTAAGACATTGTAACAATCAAAACTTTTAAGATTCAAAAGGCCTTTTTAAGACATTGACTTAACTGATACACACAAGGAAAGTAACAATTAAAAACAATTCCTCAAAGAATTAGGGATGCAGGGAGCAACTTCACGTTACATTAAACTGGCAATTACCATATTTCCTGAGGAGATTAGACCCGTCCTTAGTGGTAGCCACAAGACACAGAGCATGGAAGCACGTCCCCCGAACTGAGTACACAGGGCAGGTAGCAGCAAGGTGGGTGAGCACTGGCAACACTCCCTCACAGCTCAAGAAACCTGCTCCATCACTACTCAGTCCTACATGACCCATGGCCCATATTGCAACCTTAAGCTGGAAGATCTCTCGTGGATTGGATACAGCACCAGCTTTGATAATCTGAGAAAACATAATATTCTTTATTAAGTACAGTATACTCAAAATTTTAAAACATACACATTTAATATAATTAAATTTATTTTGTGGGTGTACCGTCATCAGAAAGCTTAACCGTGATATGGTAAAGGAATATTTAACACATTTCAATAACTAGTAAATGGAACAATATGAAATCAGAATCTAGGAGCTCAATTATGGGGACCAGCCAGGATTCCTGCTTTTATGATCACATCAGGGTGGCAGAAGAGCAATCACTTCAGGGGTAAGTGTTTTGGCTCTGTAGATGTTCTGGCCTTTAATATTCTTGCCAAATGATAATACACGTAGATGGCTCTGATATATATTTACCCACCTGGACCATATTCCTCACAGCATCATGTTGCATAAGAATGGAGAATCCTTCCTTGTGCTGTGTTAGTGATCCATACAGGTGAGGCAGGAGGAAAACATCATGAACGACGTGTTTGCTGCCAGTGCGTCGTCCATAAGCACCATCTTCCCCTCGCTGATGTTGAGTGACTGAATCATTAACAGCTGTCTGCATCAGCTTCACATACCTGAGAACAATTACAATGATGTCTCACTTTACCAGACACATTAACTGGTCATTAAAACCAACTCTTATTGAAGGTTTCATCTCATTAACTACTCATTAACTACAAACTTTCAACAGACCTCAAAAATTTTATCACAATCTGTAAGAGTTAAAGATGAATACAAAACATAAATACCCCCAGGTAGTTTTAATTGTGCATTCTCTAGCCTCTTGCTTCTCTCTCATTTTCTATTTGGGTTATCATGTTGGGTGCAAAACTGCCCTCTGTTAGCCCCCCCAACCTATTCCCAAACATTAACCACAAATTCAAATTTCTTTGTGTACAAGTACTTCACCTCTGCTCAGTATATTCCTACCAATTAATAGTAGTCAACTTTATTATGTTAACTTGACATTCTTCTTATATGAACTTGCTATACTCAATAACCAGCATTATCATTGCTCACCCTTTTCAACAATTACACTCCTTTTTAATTTTTTTTCTTCTAACTCACATAAGATAGTTTTCCAAGTAACCACCACAACTATAGCTTTAAAACTTTTTGTTTTCTTTTTATATTTCATAGATTTTACATTCATGACTACTCACTAAAGTCATTAATTACAAAAATCATTGTGAATAAAATATCATTAACTAATCAGAAGTTAAGAATATCCACTACTCTCTATGTTAGATCATAAACAAGCAACTTAATACAAGCAGTTTAAACTTACTTATAATTGTATGTTGTGGACCACTTCTGCAACAAGGTGTTAATAAAGTTGGCATCGCGGTATGCCCGAAAACCTCTTGGTGATGATACCAACTTGGCCATGAGCAGCTGTCCACGGTCTCCCAAGTGCAGGACGGATGGCGGAGCACACAAAATGGCTTCCAGGTACTCCTATGAAAAACAGATATTTTTTAAAAATAATCTTCCTCCAATTTATATTCTAACACTTAAATTTTGTCATTCTACACATCATTACGAGCATTTTCTTATGTAAATTTTAAACTTTTTAGGTACTGTAGTTATTTCCTATATAATGTTAATATGATACTAATATGATCTAAAATTATCATCTAAAAATTAACTTCACCTATCAAGGACTTTTAAAAATTAAGTATTTGCCCTCTCTAACATTCACTATTGGCCTATGTCGACATTACCAAGGAACCTTAAACAGAAGAAACTTCCAACTTTAATTTCTTACAGTAGTGCCTTCATAGGCAACTAAAACTGGCCAGTGTATTGTTAACTGAGAAATTGTTTAGCAGATCTGCACCACCATCATGCACAAACCTCATTATCACAAGCCTCCTCCAGAACATCCAAAGCTGCTAAGGACACGATGCGGCTCTCATCATACAACTGGGCTACCAGCAACTCTACTCCCCAACGGGCAAAGTCATCAGCACCCACTCGAACCAGCGCTCGGAGGAACTGAGTGGCGTACACACGAGCCGATTCTTGGCAGCCGGTTAAAATCTTGGTCAAAATCGCCCTAAAATTACCAGAAACAGTGTTAGATTGGACTTAGTAAATGAGGAAAATAGGAAGTTTAGTCCTACTAGAAGGAAAGTACAGGCATACCTCAAAATGGTGGTGTAGAAGACCTCAAGTAATGAAAACACTGATAGAGTAGCAGCATGAGGGTTAGTATACAAGCTTATATATTTTGGCATAATGGCACTATCATTATTACTGTACATCTGTACCAGCTGAACTTACCTGTTGAGTCCATTAATAGAGTAGTCTAAACAAGTAGAGACAAGTTTGGCATACATATCACTATTGGACACACTCACAAGCTCCTGTAATCTGCAAAAAGAATTTGTTCACATTTATATATTGTGGAAAGGAAACACAATATAAAAGAACATAAATCTCTCACAGCAGTAACAATGAATATATGTTTATAAATAAATGGAAACTGTGTACTGTATATGTATTTCCTCTAGATTTTGAAAGTACCCAGCATTAATCTAAGTGAGAAAAGGTTTGAAATGGTAAAAGATGAATATATATGGAGGAGTGATCATGATAACACAGGTAATTTCTCACAATACTGTACAAGCAGCTTAAAAAGATATTTAATGAGTGTCCTTAAACAATCCTCCATTCCTCAGCTAGATGTGATACTCTAACTCAAATGAGTTGACCACTTATCCTTCCAACCAAATAACACTCCATGGCCCCCAAATCTGGAATATGGGGGTAAATTTGCTGTTATCTAGCCAATTCTGATCAATCAGTACAATTAACTAATCAATCAAATAGCTCATTATAATCCATGAAAATGCTAGGATTCTTCACAACTGAATAAAACTTTTCCTTTAAGAGTCTGCAGTAAGGCTGCTCATCATTTAATGAAGAGTGAAGCCAAAAGTATAAATATCGAAGGTAATTTGCCCTAAAGAGAAACCATACTGAGCTCCTTACCAAACAAAGCGCTCCAGGCAAGACCAAGACAGTGACAAAGCAGCTAGAGATGTGTTTATTATACCACTGTAATCTCCAAACCTGTCCTCTTCAAACACAATACCGAGACATCCCAAGCCATTCTGTTCCTTTACTTGTTCTGAGTCGGAGCACTTTAAAAGTTATAGGGGTTATCGCAGGGTCTCTCACGCTCAGAGAAATACCGTAGAAATATCCCATGTGCATCCAATTATTCTTATCATTAATGTTCCAGAAAATTCTAAGTGCACCTAAACATTTCTATTGTCAAGCGTTGCAGTGCAATCACCATGGTAACTATCAACAAATGAGCTACAAACAAAATTAACTGTGGGGCAAGAGATAAACAAAAACAAAAGAAAAAACGAGTAATGTTAACTTTTTGGGGATGATGGGTTCACTCCTTCAGAATTATATTTAAATCATAATTTTAAAAGAGATGTGGCTTGAGCCATCATCCTCAAAGGGTTAATATAGTCTGCTTACCTGTACTGAGGGTGATAGTGATATTACCCTACGGCTATATAAATGTGTAAGTGAAGGTGTGAGAAATAACCAAATTGTCAAGAGGTTTCAACATATATTTATATAATGTCGAAGAAGGCACTGGAGTGAGTCAAGTAACAAATGAGATATTGAAGGCTAGGGTGATGTAGCTCTAGTGTTCTCATGCTCTACACAGTGCAACCCTTGGTATGGCCAAGTCCAGGGGGTTGTGTGGTTGTCAAGACTTTAAGGGTGTTCACAGATAATAGAATTATTTAAAAGATTTTATGATTAAATACAGACAAGATGGTGATTACAGTACAGATGATGAGCAGAAGCAACATGGTGAGACACAAGCAATGACATCTCTAGAGAACATGGCTGAATAGACAGAAATTTTAACACAAGATTAGTGATGAATTCATTTTTTAGAAAAAATTAAATAACTAATGTATGCTGCATGGACAATCATGTCATAAATTAGAAAATGGATTATCTGACAAAATCTAATTTTTAACTAATTTTGGATGTTTGAAACTCAAAACAGTTACTCACTGTTCAAAGATGCCAGCTTTCAGAAGCATGTCGTATCCGCGCTGTGAGTGAGAGAGTCTACCCAGAGCAAGAAAGTAATATTGTGCAGTGGTGGTGTTAAGGCGCGACGGTGAGAGAACTGCATCATGGGGTGGACGTTCACACACAACATAGGACAGGTTCATACTCACGTCCACTAACAATTCTTCAAAGTATTTACTGCAGTCATCCTGTATTTCAGGAGGAAAAGTCTAATAGAGTATAATTTTTTTTAAATATAATTCTAAAAATATATTTTTTCAAACTACTTGAGTAATAACATGCAGAATTAACAGGAGAGAGTGCTATTAGAGCCTGCAATGTGGTTACATACTATAAAATTCCATAAGCTTAAAAACTAATTTGTGTATATTTTGGAAAAGTAGGAAGATAAGGTGACCAGTAAGCAAGTTCTTGACAATGTGGCTGGTGTTGTCTTGACTTTTTCCTTGTGTGAAAATACTGTTTTGAGCATTGAGGTGAGGCTGAGTTGGTTGGCCACCTAGGGTAATATCTACCTATGAATTAACTGGATACTTACAATGTTAAACTACACCATGAGGGAACCAGTTAGCAAAACTTGTGGTATATTTTGCACATTACAATTTAAATTCAAACACAACTGTAAGAGACAAATTGTATGCAGAAAAAAATTGGATGAAAATTAAAAGTTTCAAAGAAGTTATCATAAGTCATTTTTATTCTCCTGAGAAGGTAAACTATACAAGGAAACTTTAGATCATCAAAAAAATAAATAAAATAAAATAAATAATGATCTAAGAGTACATATAACAATAAAGGAACAAGATGATTATCTAAAGAAATATGTTACTATGCCAATGCCATTTTTGTCGTATACAATTTTGCCAATATTATGTTCTTGCAACTACAGGTATTGACCAAACTTGGAAAAGGGTATGATACCTTATGATACCTTAAACCTTTCAGTAATAATTCAATGATTTGAATAGGATTGATAAAGCACTTGAGAGGTTATGTCATCATACTCAATGGGTGGTCATTGTACTCAAGGGGTTATGTCATTGTACTGAATGAGTTATGTTATTGTAATCAAGGGGTTGTCATCGTACTCAAGGAGTTATATCATTTTACTCAAGGGGTTATGTCATCATAATCAAGGGGTTATATCATCATAATCAAGTGGTTGTCATCATACTCATGGGGTTAATCCATTTAAAACACTTGTGACATGCAGTGCACTTTTCTCATTACATATATCAAAACACTTCTGGGGAGATGTCTAATGCTCCCTAATACAGTACTGTACACATAAATCACTTATGTGTACAGCTGTTGTATCTAAATATTACCCTTTTACTTATGGCGTGACAATGACAGAAACCACAATATACAAGACAGTGGACAGTCAACCCAAGTTGTCAGTCATGCTATGCAAGTGAAACAAAGTGTAAACAGTAATTAAAAAGTGTAAATGGGAAGTCTAGGAAGCAGCAAAAGGATAATGAATTCAATTTATTTGCACCTTACCTTTACCTGCTAACAAAAAAGACCACATGATCAACACCACAATATTACAATATCCTACTGCAGCAGCTGTTAGACCTAGAAGGCATCTTTTACTGTAGCTCTTACACTATTGTAGGTAAAGTTACATTCATACTCAAGTACAATAATAGGTATGAAAATGCATATTTCAAAACATCTTGAAATTAAAGAATAATCCAATACTATCAACTTGTATAAACTATGAAATGAGATTAATGAAGATCCTGGCAACCTGCAATTTATAAGCATAATAGTATTCTAGGTTAGGAGTTTACAGCCTTGGGTTTATCATACCTCAGCTGCTCCCAGGAGAAAGTCACAGAAGTGCAGTAGGCCTTGAGCAAACACTTGGGAAAGATTATGAGTAAGTTCAACATTGGCAAAGAGCCCTGCACTTGGCTTGTAAAAATGCAGGACCCTCTTTATGAAGAGCCTGTAGCTGCTATCATCCAACCGTTGCAAGGATAATGAAGGCCACTGTAAAAGACACAAAACACTCGGTAAAATATATTGTCACTTCCCTTTATGGGAATAACACAATTCAGACAATATCTGGTCATTTCAGATGACCAAATTCTTTCTTGGGCAACATACAGTAGAGTAGTAGGTCTAGTCATATGAGGGACAACCAAGCAAATTATTGTTTTACCTGTCTATCAATTCCATTCTTTCTTCATTTGAAACAATGTGCACTAATACACTGTACTACACAATGTATACAATACAGTACTATGACCTACACAAAAAGTTGGGTTATGTCCAATCACCATGACAAACAAAAATCAATTACATCAACCATAATATTTTGCTTATATATTCAATTTCATTATCAAGGAAATGTCACTTCCATTTTTTAAACCAGAACATTGGAATTTGGGACGTTTACATGACTTCACATTATTCTATTTAATTGTAACTCTTCTATAAATATCTACAATCACCAAGCTGTTATATGCATAAACCTACACATTCCCCATCACGACTACATCAAAGTCTTTCTTATTACAGATACACTCATTATTATCTGCCTAAACAACTCATAAACTTTGATTACAAACTATTCTAGTTCATTATCTGATGAAAGTAACACACAAAATAAGACTTACTGGAAGCAATTCACTAAGATCAAATATCCTAAAGGCACAAACATACTCACGTCCTCTCCCCTAAATGCTCTACACTGATAAAAAACTTGTCATTATCAATTTTGCAACAGTTTTAGGAGGTTATCTCAATTTGTAGTAAAAAATAGCCGAGGTACTTAACCAAAACATTTAGAGCTTAAATTATTATCCGATGCTTAAATATTCAAATCAAACAATAATAACAATAAAAATAGGAGAAGACATTCAGCATATGTTAAAAGAAACAACTACACAGACTGTAACTGTTTAGTGATTGGCCACATGAATTGCCATTTTAATAGAAATAAGATAGTACAAACTCTTCAAATACTCTTGAGCCTGAAAACACTTGCTTACTCTGAGTACAGGAATGATGAGGTCCCACTTCCATGTGTGAGGGTCTCGTCCAGAGATGAGCACATCTGACTCTTTCAAGGTTTGCTGGATTAGTTCATCATGGTCTTTTCCCAACCACTATAAATACAAGAAAAAAAGAAGTGTGAACAGCAGACAAGATTTAGTAATACTGTATACAGTATATATATATTCTAATTCTTTTCTGTTTTAGCTATTCCTCTGATGATACAATTCTGAGTGTGCAGTCACAAGCATCCATGTCTTCCTATTTTAAATCAGTATCACACTATTAAGTCCCATATTTCACTATGCCAAGCCCTAAAAAACAGCCTTCATGAAATGGAACACAGATGCCAAGCACTGCAAGAAGACTATCAAAAGTTAACTTAATATAAATGATACCTGAGGTCAGAAAGTGCAGACCCATATGTCTAAGTGACGTATTTTTCATGAGTTGCTGTAGAACTCAAGAAGATGAACATGCATGTAAAGTTTTATGATTACTGTATATGGCAAAGTATTTAAGAAAAGTCAGCTTCTACGAGTATATATGAATATAGACATAGATGGTCAAGCATAATACTATATTTCCAAGCCACATCCATGGCAAACTATAAAAATCTCATATTTTCTCATATTTATTGAAATTACACTCAAGTACAGGTTCATTCTAATATACTACCCACACAATGTCTGTAATATATCAAACCTACCTTACTAAGTTTGGCACTTGATGAGGCATTGTACACCTTGGGAATGCGTTCCTTGGCCTTGGGCGAGCAACGGATAATGTGAGCTAGATATAGAGACATGGGTTGTCCGTGGGAGTTGAGCTGGGAGCGAGCCAACATTAACAAAGCTGTGATGGCCTGGGTGGCTCGCATGCGCTGGTTAGGATCATTACCAGCTGCTCGCTCCAGTAGAATGGGAAGTGAATGTGATAGGGAGCCACATTCCCCAGGCAAGTTCTGGTTAGCTTGGTGGAGTAATTCACCTGCAAGTAATGTATTCAGCATATTACACTGCATCCCATTTCTCTTCATTCTGAAATATCTCTTAGATTATCTATCAACTTTACTCTATTTCTGTCTAATTAGGATGAAAGAAGCACGACCATCCTCACTGAACTAACATAATACCTCTTAATGTTGCCTCCCCTTAACTGTAATGAGACTGATAACTTGAACATTATCAAAACAGAATTTTCTTTCTTCATTCACTTTTCTGATTCCAGTCTGTAAGCACCAATGTGGAGGTACCTACTCACTTAGTTAACTCTATCTCCAGACACTGTATTGCTTAGAAACTTCTGAACATAACTAAGCACAAGGGTTATAGAAATTATAAAAAACACTGACCCAACAATATTGTGGTCTTAACAGACACAGGTGCTGAGCTGGTAACAATTACTTCACATAGGGCAGGGAAGAGGTCAACACATATTAATGTATACAGCACCAATGCCAAGTGGTTCTGGATAAGGTTTGCTCTGAAAAGAAAAAACACAATAAAGTATGTAGGTTACCGCATACTGTATTGGAGAGGCAAAAAGAACCTGCTATAGAATGAAGAAATAGGTCATTTTTTAAAACTGCAAAAGAAAATTATAACAAGGAAAGATGTAAATGACCTGTACTTCAAGACATAGATCAAGTTCAGCTAAGAGTGAAGAATAGTGAGGTAAGAAGATGTATGTCAAAAGAACAGAACAAAAAAGGTAAAAGAGAATGAGTTAAAATGATTCAATAAACATCTACATCTTTTCAAGCCATTTCCTGCATTTGTAAAAAAAAAAAGGGTTTAAAGTGAATCTTCCTCAGCTTGTCATTTTGAGAGCTTTATCTGTAGTCCACCTCCCAGGAACACCTATAACCCACAAATATATAAATATAGTATCTTAAAGTATCTTAAAACTTTTAAATCATATGTTGTTGTTCTATTGATACAAAAAGAAAAACATTTACAATTTAATTTCACAAACACAAGCGTTCAATTTACAAACACAACTCCATCCCTATCTGAGCTGAATGTTACATCTAGAAACTTTTACATACGACTAAATATAAAAACAGCTTACCTATATTTTGCAATATGAGGTAAAACTGCTCGTGCCTCTGCTGCTACAAAACTTTCATGGAGTCGCCAGGTGTCTGTGTCCGAGGAAGAGACAGACCCGTGTTGAGCGAGAGCCTCTTCATAGTCACCAACCCAGTTCACAAACGGCACTCTGAACAACTCGTACAGCAACTCTATTATTGTTTTCTGGAGGTAATAACTTTTTTTTTTTAGTGAAATACTTAACAGACATAAGGGAAACAGGTGTTATAATTTCAAAACCACTCCATCATCCTCTCTCTACTTGCTTACTTAGGAGGAAACCTTGAAGAGGCATTCTGTCTACAAGAAACTATTGATACTCATAATTATGTCATACAATACTAAGTCAGACCAACGCCAAGACTTGGTTCAACATAATGTACAATCTCAGTCAAAAGAAATCATGCACCTCTCCTACTACCATACCAGCGAGTTCAAGGCCTTTCTACACGACACGTCACAAGAGGGTGGGGAAGGTATTGAAGGGGTGGACCCGGGTAAGGTAGGAGGACGCAAGTCAAGGACCACATACAGTACTGTATATTGTAAGTGTATGTGGTCTTAGATAACCCTTAACACCTGAAGGTGTCAAAGTTGGGGTCACTCTGAGACATTGGTTAACCCACTGGGAGGAGTCTGAGAACTTGGGAAATCGGCTGCCGTGAGTATTTTTGATGGTTTGCTGACGTTTGATATATTTAAATGACTAATTTTGGGTGTGTAATATAAACAAAATATATTTAACTCTATATTCATATAAATTATATAATTTTAGGCTGGGGAGACTACGTTTCACAGGTGAGGAGGACATTGGACGGGCTATTGATATTCTGTATGACCTATGCTGGTAAATATAAAAAATAAATATGATTTCCACCCTCATACTCCTTATTTCTCCTCATATTCACGTTCTTATAAATATCTAAATATCGTTGTTTAAAACCTAAAGTACGACCTGAAACAATGATAATTAAGGAAATGGATGGCACATTATAATAATCATAAAATAAGGGTCCTCTTATAAAGCATGTAAATCTTATGTATAATAGTGAAAAAAAAATTCCATCCTTCCCTTCCTTATTTCATGAAAATGCCTGCTTTCTTCAATCCCCTCCTTCTCTCATGAGCAATTGCATCACATATCACCCTCCCACACCTCTGTCCCCAACAAACGGCCCTCTCCCAAGTGGACCAATCCCCCCTCCCTACCCCACACGACTTACTGTGCAGAAAGGACCCAGCCAGACGCAGGGGTTTGGTGGTAGTGTGCAAGATTACTTTTGACCACGACTGTACCTGGTTATACTCTATCATAAAAGGTCTAATGGCAACAGAAATGTTTCATAATGAACTAAAATTAACAAAGTTTGGCTATTTTTTATTAGGAGAAGTATTTGATATCAAAACAATTTATATAACATGAAGGTATTAAAACAGCTGAGGAGGAGTTCACAAAAATGTTAATTCATAACAATACCTAAAGTACAACAGGTCATATAACAATTACAAAATATTTGTTTGTAATGTACCAACAAAATTATGAAACATCATATTATAAGAAGACTTGGGTTATGTGGTGGGATAATATAAAATTAATAATGGTACAGCAACATTAATGACTGAGGTCACTGAGAACTGACCAAGGGGGTTGCTTAACATACGGTGTGATACAACTAGGTTGAGAGACTCTAGTGAGGTTAGATTGAGAGAAGTGGATCCAAAGGGATAGAAAAACATTGGTAAAATAAGTAAAATGGACTTAAGCCAACCTTGAATGATACTGAAAAAAGATATGAGGACAAAGATTTACACAGTTTACATGGAGACAAAGCTTCATTCATCTCACGCCTAAATTACACACCGACTTACCATCAACTGGCGTTGTTAAGACTAAAGATAATGAAAGGTTAATATTTTGGACATTGTCATCTCTCCTCCAGCATTATTACAGAACATAATCTTAGCTCAGACTTACCCTGGTGTCTTCATGGTTGGGATACAGTAATGCTATGAGGGATCTGAGAGCAGCTGTGTCTGGTTGACAGAGCGACACCAACCCAGACCAAGACCTGAGGCACACCAACACTGCCAACTTTCCTGCCTGTGTCCGCAGATCACGCTCCTCGCTACACCCGAGAGTAAAAGATAAAAAATTATAATGAAGAGAACAGGTAAAAATACTGCTGTGCTTACTATTAAAAAAAAATTAAAAAAATTTGCATACTGCAGTTCCAGTAATGTACTGTATTGAAACTGCACTTTTGGAGTTTATCAATATACCTTTCAAGACACAGTCATTATGAAAATACTGCTCGACACAATTGTTTCTAAGATCCTCAAGGACAGTAAGTTTAAAGCTAAAATGAATCTCCATCTACAGCACACTTATCTCATATCTAGAAATACATATGCACAGTGTTTATTATCATTGGAATAATTACAAATGATTTACAGTGGAGTTCCAATAGTTTGCAAAACACAAATTCATATTCTTAAAATCACAGGTACAATACCTCTATTGCTGCCTCTTTTTTAATTATGCGGTCAAATAATCAGAATTCACGGTACTGTACAGTACACAGTGTTACCTCTCTTTACTGAAATATTTGGTGATTATCCAGTTCAGTAGTACAGTATTGTGAGTTTTTTGGTACCATACAAAACGATTCTAAAAAATTCTTCCCATACTGAACTTTGTTCAGTATACTGAACGTACAGGTATGTATATTATTTGGCCACTGGAACCTAACTAATTATTTACATTTAAATCTAATAGACTATAATTCACAATATGATAGTTCACAATGTCTTCTGGTTCTTAACTGATGAATTATTGCGACTCCACTGTACATTTATAATTAAAGTTATCGATATATGGCAGACGTTCTCAGATTCAAACTGATGCCTTTTGAACATCATAATGGTTCTATCAAATCTATTTTGATTATTTCAAGACTTACTGTACAAAATGGGTCAATCTTTCAACTTTTTGTGCAGTGAAGTCGTTACATTCTTAGAGAGGCTAAAATGGCTACATAAATAAAACAAGATTGCCTACAATATATACATTGTAACAGACTCCAACTAAGAATAGGCAGATAGTCAACCATCCCATTTTCAGCTTGCATACCTCTTACTGTAGTACTCAAGATCATAGCTTGTATGTTTATAGTGAAAGTCAGAGAACGGGGCGAGGATCTGATGTAGTTGAGCACAGTGTGGCCGCCACTCAGGTGTGTTGAGGAGGTAGAGGATAGCACCCAGAAGAGCTTCATTGATACGTGGCATCGCACAATCCAAGATGTTATGGAGTAGGACGCCAACCCCACCACACTCCACAAACACGGCAGTATTGAGCACAGCTTAAAAGATCAAAAGGTGAACAAATGTAAGGATACTGAGCACACAATCTGTCTACAGTATCACCTTAGCTTTTATTTCAATTTATTTGCAGCGAATCAATGCTTACATTAACTTCAAAGACACAAGGCAGAGAAGCACCAGGGAGTAGTGCATTAGAAGTAAAAAATGACAACCATTAATTATTAATATCTATGCTTTTCATGTACTGTAATTTTCTTTCATATCTCTCTAGTAAGTGCTCATTCAGTATAAAACCTAATTACTGGTGAGTCATCATGCGAGGTACTGGTAACTATCTGTCATCAACTGGGCTCTCATATACACACCCATTTCATTAAGCGTAGCAAGAGCAGATCTAAGAAGTCTGTCTCTCTCCTTAGCTCCATCACGAGCAATGGCTATAAGGCAGCGAGCCAGGGACACTGGGAAGAGACTGGGTGCTACCTGCAGCATCCGACGAGCCAACCTCAGACTTTGAACACGTTCTATTTGATTATCAAGCATGATGTCCATACACCTGCAAAAAGTTCATTAGCAATAAAAGTTTAAGTATATCACACATTCTAAATTATCAAAATAATTAGAGAACTCATAATTCTTACTAAATAACACAGAAATAAAAATGACAAAAAATGAATAGCGTACATTTGTAAACCGCTATACTGTACTGTATTTATGACAAGCTAATGGTCACCGTGAGCAACATTTATAACTTCCATGACATAAGGGCTACTATATATACCTTAAAACACATATATTGTGTTTGAAAGATTATCGTTATTCAAACATTACCGAATAATAAGAGGTACGGTGTTCACTGTTATGAGAGCCTGCACATCCTCTGGTGTCTGGATGAGGTAACGTAAGAGTCGGAGGCCACCTGCACGTACCTCCTTTCCTTCATGGACTAGACAGCACCGTAACCTGCAATGGTGAATATACAGAACACTGTCCCATGGACCATAAATACTAAAAATAAAACTAATGTCACTGAGTATGTATATACAGCATACTGTACTGTAATCCTCACAACATAGGACCAGGCAACCTGAAAATTATTGTAAGATTACATATGGTTGTCAGTTCAGATAAAAGGAATTGCACTGTACCTGCAAATTTGTACATATTTCTCAAATTATCGCAACTCCACTGTACCTATGCAGCATTTATCAATAAAAAGAAATCAATGTGTAGCGTAGAATGTAAAGGTGTAAGCTGTGGGGTGAATGCTAATAAACAAAGCACAGTAAGTTTTGTTAAGGAAATAAAGCAAAAACACAAACCAGACCTCCCAACTTAAAGCCTCTGTATATTTCCTAAATCATAAAATGAATAAATCCTTGGATTTACTGAGTCCACAGTGTGAGCTCGATGTAGTATAGCCTTGGCTTGTGTTGGTTCTGTCTAGCTATTTCTTTATAATGCAGCACAGTCTTTTAGACCAAAACTAAGATATACACAACCTTAGTTCCATACACCATATGCAAATTGTGGTAAAAGTACCTAAAAAAATGACAGATGAAAACTAGTAGCAAAGTAGCAAGAGGAAGTGAGATGGGAGAACTTACAGGCAGAAGTATTGTTCCTTGGTGATGACCTCCTCACCAAAGTCAACTTGTGGTTGTGGTGAGGTGCTCTTCTCATTGGAGGACACCATGTCATCAAACATCTTTTTCTCTTCTCCTGAGTATGAAGACTTTTTTGACTGGTTCGATGATGTAATCTTAGATATTGACCTGACAGCTGCATTGAGGTAACTGAGGCGACGGCCTTTGGGGATGCCATCCTGTCGACACACAACTCCCAGTACCTCTCGAACAACTCCTGACACACCTCGCTCTAAGGCAAACACGATATTATCCTCTTCGTTTTCATGTCGTCCTGGAAGTAAAGGAAAACATCAAATCAGGTCTCATGTAAACTTGCTGCTATAAAAGAAAGACTAAATCTGCATAAATGAAAAGCTCAAGTACCATAAAATATGTAGACTGTCATAATCAATGTACACACTATCATTAAGACACCTACTTCAATTTCCAATAGATTCCCCTTAAAAGAGAAAATCCACACACCATCCACCAAAATGAGCAATTTCAAATACTACAGCATACTGAAACATTTACTGTCTTACTTTATACCACACACTTGTAAGATAAAGACAATGTTACAAGTTTAGATCTATGGCAGAAAGACAATTTATTATAAAATCAAAGAATAACAGGTAAAGCTGGTAGTTATTTGGTAAAAGTGAGGGAAAGGTTAATGGCTAAACTACAATTCAATGATTTATTTCAAGAGAAGAAATGTTGAAACCTGAAGATTAGCCACTAGATTGTTTCACTTGATTTAACACCCTCAATGCCATCTTGGGAGGGTTAGGTTAAGTTAGATTAGGTTATGTTAGCACCAGGGTGATTAATCTTAAGGTGAGATAAGCTGGGGGACTAAACTTCAGGTACTCTAAAAAATTGTTTATCGCTTTCAGATTCTACCACAACCAGTGTCAAAATTTTATTTACAAGTATAAAGTGAACCAAGCATTAAGGCAATTGACACATATTAGTCAAACCTAACTTAACCTTACTTAAAACACATACTAGTCAAATCTAACTTAACCTTACCTAACAAAAATACCAGTTAAATCTAGTTTAAGGTGGCAACACACTGGGCAATTTCTTCCCAACATGTTGGCCATTTTTGCTGGCTGCTGGCCTGACGGCCGGCCAGTTGCGAGAATGGACAACGGTTAGGCGGCAAGCTTTGCCGCTTCATACTAGGTGTTGAATACTTTTAGGTAAAAATTGAATTAAATCATGAAACGATAATAATTTAAAATGTAACATAAAACGGTGACATGTTTTTATTTATTCGTCACTTTAAAACGTTTTTAGTTCAGTATCATAAAATCATAATTCAGGATCTTCTTTCAGCCAGCCACTGCTACATGTAAACAAACTTCATGATGGCTTTCCCAACATCCAAACGTAGCCTTTCTTCATTTAGACGCTTCGTTGATGCCTTTGTTGCATTGGGCAGATGCACCAACAAAACATCCCAGTGAAAGAAAAATGTCTCTGTTTTGCTGGCATTAAACCTCACCTAACTTAATTTAAAACTCGTACGGTACAAGAGTGTTAGGTTGGGGAGGCTATACTGGTTTTAGTTTGTTTGTTTAGCTTCTTTTAAAGAGACTAACTGATACCAGAACTATCATGAAAGATCCTTGTTTAAAAGATAGCAATGATTTACATGAGATAATTTAAAAGTTTATACCAATACTTGTTTCTTTTTTAAATCTAGATACAGGATATGGCAGAATTATAAGGTAATAAAGAGTTTAAATTATATACAAAAAACAATTAAATGTATGTTATGATGCATTACATTTCTCAAAGCTCTTATCCTGACTATAAGACCTTTAATTAGTAAATAGTGACATTTGGTATATACATCACGACTCATAGCCACTACCAGCATGTAGAGTCATTAGCTATAAAGAAATATACTAACCAAATTACAGATAATACCAACTACAACTGACTCACTACTATGGCACACATGACTCACTCCACATGTTTTGGTTCCTGAGCTAAAAACTATGAAAAAACTGCATTATAAGATATATTTGTACACAGATTTGGATATCATTATGTTATTATTGCTCAAGATGGTAAATTCATGTAGGAAACTCAAGTAAAATATCACGTGGCCATCAGGATTGATATTATCTCTATAAACTCTGAGATTGAGACTATGTGAGACATCTAGCAGTTTTCCAGAGGTTAGGATAGGTTAGGTTAGGTTAGGTTAGGTTAGGTTAGGTTAGGTTAGGTTAGGTTAGGGATTGCTGGTGAGTTAATGAATAAAATTAGAATGAACAACACCAAATACATTGAGAAAAACCTATAATTTCTGGTAAAACCCAAATTTTACCGCCATTTTATACATTTTCTCAGCTATATTAAAAAAATATATCACGAATTACATATGTGACTAGACAAACATGAAGGTAGGTGATGTTTAAATACACCATCTGACTACACACATCACCCCACAGCCTCCCACCTGGTACACTGTTCACCTCCCACACTGCCGCCCACACACACCCGCCCACACTGCCACCCACACACCTATGACCACATGAGGTGCACTTCATGTCTATAACACCACCAGTTCACTCACTTCTCAGGGACCTCCCCGTACGAATTCCTCTCCCTTGATACATGTTTGTGTGGCCATTACGAACTGACACTCTGACATTCGTAGTAGTATAGTGTTGCTTCTCACTAATGTTTACTCACATTCTTAACATAGTTTTACCAATAGATAATACTTAAGTTTAATATTAATGCTGTGTATTATATCTAATTATTTTATTCAAATGAGTATAAGTATTGTGAAATATGTGGCCAGTTAACTGAAGTACATATGATATGAGAAGTCTCACTAAATAAAACTATAGAAAATGTTTGAATGGGTAACTGATATATATAAATATACTTCATATTTATTGGATTGTCACTGAAGATGGATACTACACTCCTGCAGTTGATACTCGTGAGACTCACAGGTCTATAGTAACTGGCTATTATGCTCTGCCTCCTCTTCAAGAATGCTGATAACTTTGTAGTCTCACATTCCTTCCTATCCATATACCTAATGGCCATCCCACCTATAGATGCAGCTAAGACGGAGGAAGGATATTAAGCCAGTGGCTTGTGTAGGAACCACCATTGTTCCTGATAGTCTAGTCATGGGCTATTTTGGAGCCCAGTACAGTACTGATCTCACTTGTTCTGATAGACTGTCCTTCAGGTAGCTAGCTGGTTCTAATCAACGTGTTGATCATCGCCAGAGTTTTAAAATGCTGCAATTAATGTCTACTGCTTTCAACCAACTGGAATTCAAGGTGTGTCAACCATGGTCTGTAGAAGGTTCTCCCTAATTTTTCTGCTCTAGTGATAATTATGGTCTAATGGTGTCCCATTTTTTGTTGGGTATTGGTGACTGTTGTGAATCTACGAGAAAGGTGTTTTTTTACGTAAATATGAACATTCTCTAATTCACTACCCATCTTAGCTCTTACCGACTATATTTCTTACATTAGACAATTATAACCCTTTTCTGGTGAAAAGGGGGGTCAGGACCACTGGGACCCCCCTGGATCCGCCCTTGTACCAATAATCTGTCTGAGACCACTAGTGTAAGTGTCAATTGTTCTTAAATAAGGCAGGAGGAAGATGAATGGTCATGTACTCCAGACACTGGTGAACTGATTATAAATTTGTTTCCTCAGTTTACCATAAAATACTCCCGTTTTCTTTTTTAAATTCTGGCAGACTGACTTAAACACACCAGTTCACATTTTATGTAACATAATTCATAATTCATGATGATTATTATTATAAGAGTTATAAAAATATTGGAATCACAGCACCCAGTTTGAAATTATTTCGCCTGAGCCCATCTGATGGGATAATAATAATAATAATAATAATAATAATAATAATAATAATAATAATAATAATAATAATAATAATAATAATAATAATAATAATAATAATAATAAATTATTAAAATTCTCAAACAGGTCTACAATTGGATAAACATATTAATAAACTATGCAGTTATACAGTTCCTCATAGGTATAGTGGACGTAGGCCGCGTGAGTACACTGTAGTTTCTTGTATTTTGAGACAGTGCAGGTAAACGACAATGGGAAACAGTAAGGAAACTTTGCTTTTCATCCAAGGATAACCGATAAAGCCGTCACGTGCTCATTGACATTCAGCCGTCTTTCAAATATATTAAATTTGATAGTTGATGTTTTTATTTATCATTACAGATGTAGACTGGCTAAGTAAGTTTCTATCGGGTACTCCAGTTTACCCCTGCATTAACACTGGACAATATAGTTCATAATAATAATAACAAAGAAGAGACAAATCGCCCAAACGTGGTGAAATGATACATAATAAAAATAGTTAAATGACTGCCGGTGGTAGAGGAAATAAATTAGCGGAAAATACTAGTTACCGTTTAAAAATAAAAACAATTTCTCGAGAACACCAAGGACCATTTTCTATGATTTATAGCTTGGTTATCATATGGCGCTAGTATCGGGGCCTAAAGAAAATAAAAAGGGAGTTTCAGAGCTTTAGGATATTCCTTGTCTTGGCTTAAACGAAGTGGCGGATCACTTACGCAATACTACATTCTGTGGTTATTTAATATAGACACTGCCGGCTGTATGTTTGAAATTTAATTTGGGGTCCCCACTTTATTCCCCATTTTACACACCATCATATGTATAATCTTACCCCTATTTTTATCTTACAACACATTAAGGGAGAGGGTGTAGTTGGTGGCCCTGCTTCACGGCTGGTGTACCGGGTGGTATGCCGGAGCCTTGTTTGATCTTTTGTTTACACGTGGAGAGACACGTGTGTGAGCACAGCCACAGGTAAGATGACAGCTCAAAGAACAAAATACATCACCCAGAAGGCGCATGTCCTTCTTAATAACACTAATTGAGGAAATAAAAGGCTCCTCTTCGAAAAAAGTAATTATTTTCGAGTGATCGGTAGAAGCAACAGCTGTGCTTGGCAAGAGGTGACACAGTGGACACAGCCTCAGCTCCCTAAACATGGGAGTAGACAAAGGACAGGTATGTTTTGTGTTGTACTCAGGCGTTTTTATAAAGTGAAAGTTAGTTACTATTGACCTCAGAATATTTCCTATCGAGTGCACATGGTCTCAAAATGTGCTCGCCATGTTCCCCTACCCACAACTTCTTGGAACCCCCCTTTTGATGTTCCTGGATCCGCCCCTGAAATTACATTTAATTTTAATATATATATATATATATATATATATATATATATATATATATATATATATATATATATATATATATATATATATGAACGCCTGATGTTGATTCACGGATCACTAAATTAACAGCCTATTACTCAAATATCGTAAAGTTTCACCTTAGTTGTTGAAGCACAGTGATAACATTATAACAACATTAAAGTTTAGGGACCACTTTAACATCATTTGTTCTGTTTTAAAAAGAGCGAGGGCCAGTGTATACCATTGAGAAGTAAGAACAAACAGCGCGAGTAACGTCAGAACATATTTGTCATTAAGTGAACAGTATAAAGGTGTGAGGATCGAGGTGAGGATTGTAGCCAGACCACAACTACCCCGAAGCCGATACAGAAAGACCGACGTTTAGGGACTGAGTGAGAGAAGTGTGAGTTCTTCAACCCAATGTCTGTACAGTATTATCTACTAAGTACATTCTACTTGACGGAACAAATATGAGTCTAGAGAAGCTAACGTGTGTCAGAGATATACTCGAGTTGGTGGTTTTACCTTAAATTCAATTATCGAGGTACAGGGTTGAGAAAAAGTGCTAAGAATGAAAATTATTGTAATGAGAAAACTATTGAATACATAAAGTCATATAGAAACAATATGGATATTATACCAAAAATATCGAGATATATCAATAGGCTAAACAGTATTTATTGTAAATTGGGTCACTTCAGGGCCTGTAATCTTTTAGCTATATGATGACTAAAGACGAAGATACAGGAATTTACGAGACAGATTATTTTAGGAGAATACACGACTGGTTGGTTGTCTCTGAGCTGCCGTCACTCAAATAGTTTCCAACAATGGGTAACAGAGACGTGGCCGACCGCTCAAGTGGCGAAGAAAATAAAGGTAAAGGTAAAGTCCTAGAGAGATTTGATTTTTTAAAGCTATGTACGTGTTGGTAAGCAGTTATGTGTATTCTTTCATCTGCGGTTTCAAGGAACATTCATCTCAAATCAAGAGTGAGAAACGATGTATAAGTTGTGTTGTCAATAGTAAGAGAAACAATTGAGACCTGCAATTGTGTGTAAATGAGGCGGAAAGTCAAATCAGCAACTGGGACTTGGTCACAATTTTCGTGATGCCATATGACAACAGGGTCTACCATTAGACAACACATTATGCTTCTTCTTAACACAGTTTTTATTTATACATTCTTGCCAGATACGGTCATGATTTTTCTTCTAAAAAAATAAAGTATGCTATCATGCTAGGTGAAGGATAAAGAGGTTACACAAATAAGATCTTTGCAAACGAAAATATACCAAATGTTGGAGCCATTTTCACGAACAAGTAGAGTGAAGCCAACCACCAGTCCCACTATCTCAGAGGGACTGGAATTATACTTCATTGTTATCTTGATGCTTATTACAGGATGATTTGTAACGGTTTGAAGTAACTATCTAAACGTAGGAAATATGTCTCTTTTTTAGAAGTATGGCCGTCAATATGCCAAATGGAAACTTTATCTGGGGTGTACCAGTCATGCGAAAGGGATTTTGACGCCTTGGTTTTCTTTGACCTATATATGTCTGGTAAAAATAGTGTATACATCTTGTTCCTGGAGTGTAAAGTCGAGTGAGAGTAATGCTCGGCGATTATCGAGGACCATCCAGCTGGTCCTCAACAAAGGCGCTAAGTGGGCGTCTCCAAGAATCACTGATCACCCTCCTCCTCATCGATAAGGGAGGGGGAAACTTAGCACTTGAGAACACGTAAAGCATTTATACAAAAACAGTATATATAACTAAAGCTTGGCCTCTTGGCGGATCAACTCCTCAATCTCACCATCCTCAACGAAATCCCCCCCAAAAACAAGAAAATATACAGTATATCTAAACGTAATTTTACAGTTTTTCTCCACGAAGCAAATTATTATATTTTTCGTTAGATAGAAAAGAGTCCCTACTGATGTTGATGGAGGATGTGGGCTCTCTTGTACCCCTCTCACCATCCCTCAGTCCACCCTCGTATATAGCTCAACTTAAATGTCTAAATATAAGACATACTCACGCCTGAATATGACTGATTTGGACAGGCGGGAGTGTGGTAGGAAAGGAAGAGGAAGCGGAGATTTAAGAGCAAAATTCTCAAGGACATCTACACACGTCTCTTAAATGTTGTTATCATAAGAAGGTAAATTTCTACTGGACTAGCTTTTCTGTCTCTCACTGTATTCTTCATATACTTGAGTCAGCCTCTGTAAGTTACTCACAACAGCTGACGGGAGAATGAACAGAGAATTATCGTCACTTTAAGTATGATAATAACTTTATAACTGTGCCGTAAAAGTGAGTGATATTCCCTGCAGATGACAGAGACTTCAGTAGTGTATAAACTAGTTGATTATACCAAGACGAGTTTCCCGGATTATTGTGAGATACCGCTAGTAAGCTTGTCCGTCGC